CCATAGTTTGTATAAATGCTGAGGCAACTCTTATCATAGGAATGATAGAAATGTTGTGATTTCACAGTTGAAACATTAGTGAAATGCAGCTTATGATGTTGTGCCTTTCAGGTAACACTTGGAAGACACAGTCTCAGGTTACCTAGAGCTTGATTTTCTGGGCAATTATGTTTTTCAGCAGAAAAACCCCTACTGCCACTTATTATAGTTGATTCTTTCTCCCCAATAGCGGTCTTTCTTAAGATGCTGGTTTGGCCAGTTTGGCCCCTGACAAAGGTGAGAGACGGAGAGCTCTCATTGGTTAGTTCACTCTCCCAATGCTCACCATGGCCCAGGCTGGGCTAGGCCAAAGCTGTAGGAGCCAGAAACTCAATTCAGGTCTCCCATGTGGGTGGCAGAAACTCAATTACTTGAGCCAAAAGCTGCTGCTCCCCAGGGTGCATATCAGCATGGAACTGGACTCAATCAGTAGAATCAGGACTTAAACCTCGACCCCACAATATGGGATGCAGGCACTAGGCCTTACGCCTGCCCAGATACTTCTGTTTTTCAACCAGACTAGCACAGTATGTATCGTGCCTGGAGTAGGTGCTCAGAAATATTCACCGAACGTAAGCATATGTTTCCCGGATCCTAAGTTGTTTTCTTCTGCTTGCTCAGCCATGTCCCTGTTAAACTAAGCTGTGGAAGTTTCACGTGAAGCAAGAATATCAGTGAGTGTGCGTGTGTGTGCGTGCGCGCTCGCACACCTGACAAACATCCCAGTGTCAAATTGAAATAGGTGAGGGGCTAATTTACAAAGTAGAAACTAGACCATCTAGCACTGGGCAATGTTTTGCAACTATCAGATGTGACGTTTGTGAAGGCTGGACGGAGACACGACGCAAAAGGGCCCTCTGTCTTTCTAGAATGGAACACAGCAACGTGACTACAGTGGCTCTGTTCAGATGATGGAATTGTGAGTCATTTCCAGCTCACTCCTATCTTTTCATCTGTCTAAGATATTTTGTAACTAAAAGACTATGAAAAAAGAATAAGAAATAAAGTCAATAGCTGCCAGTTAAGCGGCACGATAAAATCAACATATGGAAGACAGTTAATTATAATGATTGAATGCCCATTATACAGATTTCACTTCTCTGTCTTTTGCCTTTTTTTCTGCTCCATCTTTCTCTAATGATCTCAGTTTGGACTTCCTTTTTCTTTTTTTCCTAGAATGCCTGGAATAAAACACTATACGTCTAATTTCCTCTTGCTAGGGTCATCAATTATTCCTAAATAATCATAATGAAAGTGCCACAGCTTCTTTTGGTGAACACACATGGTGAGATCATGTCTCTCCTCTCCCTCTTCTTTCAGCTCTGTCCTTGTCAATGATTTTAATGATGGCCTAGAAGGCACACTTATTCAATTTGTGGATAATTTGAAACAGGAAGTGTAGAAAAACCACTGAATGGCAGAATCAGAAACCGAAAAGATTTCAACAGCCTGGAAAGACGGACTACATCAAATAAGAAGCACAATGAGAACGTAGAGGAGGCTCTGCAACACGAGTCTTCAAAAACTCTGGTGTGCCAGGAAGGCCACACAACAGCTCTCATTCAGAAAGTCTCAGGGGTTTTAACCAAGAGTAAGAGTCCAAGGTGTAAAGGTGCCGACAGAAAAGATTCCTTTGATCTGAGATGCAGGGACAGAGTATCATGTCCCTATCACACCCCCTGGGGACCAGAGTGCAAGGCATGCAGAGCTGGAGTACGGGACCTCACAGAGCAGGCAGGACCTTGAATCAACCAACAGGAGATCATATAAGCAGCAGCAGCAGCAACAACCCGTGCAAAGGAGAAGGCCGGCAGGTGCAAGCAAGCCTGTGCATCGGGGGCTGGAGGAACAAGGGCATCCATAGCCTCTGGCTCAGCTCTCTGAGGGCCTCCCCTGGGCCTCCTTCCCCTTGCGGCTCTTCTCGCCTGCTCTGCTTTCCCACATGCCTGGAAGAAACCCTCTGGATACGAGGAGGGAAACAAACAACAGACAAACAACAAGTCATGCTGCGTGTTCATTCCTGAGTATCTCACCTCCAAGGACACTGATAAACTGGAAGGGCAGCTGAAAGCAATTTATAGAGCACGTCATTTGAGGAAGGGGTCAACATTAGGTGGATTTTGAGCCTGGAGAAAAGGTGCCTAGGGCATAGGAGATGTTTGTGAGCGCAGTCAAGTTTCACATCAAAACATTGGGCCTTCAAAGAGGATGCAATAAAAGTAATCCATGACTTGGCTCAGTCAATGGACTGAACGGCTCTTGAAATGATTTTCATCGCTTTAAGGTCATTGCTGAAGCTTTTTTACAATGGGGGCACTTGTAGGCTCAGTGGTAGGTTGCCATAAGCAAGGCTTTTGAGCCGATGGACTGATCAGCACCTTATCAATTAAATTTTCCCATGCCTGCCTGCCTGGAGAACTCGACAGAACGTCCCACAAGAGATTCTGTACTGAGTGCCTCTTAAACAAAGGAGCTTGAATTGTCTGGAATGTGAAGGTTTCATTCACATAATGTGGATGAGTTTTATAGGGTTGTGAGGTTCTGGTGACCATCGCCGCATGTCTGTACCATACAGTGTGTAGTCCTGGGAGACATCTGTTCTTTTGCACCAAGTCACCTAACCCATGTGGGGATGGAGCTCCTGACAGCGCCCCCAGTGAATAGCAGGGAAACAGGCCGTGGGTCCTCTCCTGTCTGTCTCTCACACTAAGGCTCCAACAGGTCTCCTGGTCTGGACTATGACAGCTGTTGCCATGTGCAACAGTGTGCTCCCCAATAGGGGCGAGAAAGACACCTCCAGAGAGTGTTTGTCCCTGATAACACTCTACAGTGTCTGGTTTTGCTAACCAAACAAGAGATGAAATGTTCTTTTGTACGTGAGCAGGAAGCAAGCAGATAGTGGACTTCAATAGCTTTTTATACCAACCAGGCGTGTTGAATTTGATCTTTCTCATCAGTAGGATCTACACACCTCTTTCATTAGCGATTCAGTTCGAAGAGTGCCGAAGCCTATTCTCACTCAAAGGCATTATCTCTTCCAGCTAAAACAGATTGCCTACTGCACCTTTATTCCCCAGTCAAGCTAAAATGAAATCACAATTGTGACAAATTATAGCATCTTTAGGTTCTTTGTAGGAAACTACCACAACTAACAAAAGGAAGTAGTAGTAAAGAAATGGCTGACTAATGCAAAAACCTGCAGCTTCTCAAAAGAATAAAGTTTCTAAAGGACACTAATCACAGCACGATATTCACATTAATCTAAGTTCGATCCAACCATGACTCAACCCTAAATAATTAGGCAATGCTTTAGTATTTTTAATGAGCGTATCCGATGGTAAAGATTGCTCCAGCTGTCCCTCCAATACCTGTTCTTGCTTTACAGACTTGATGCAGCCTAAACTCTGGTGGCAGATTTGGCAAGTGCTATCTCTGTGTGTTTAAAAAAAATTTAAAAAGAGCACGTGAAAAGAAATGGATTCAGTGAAAGTAAACCTTTGGCTGTTGCATGCTGAGCCTCTTTCCCCTAGAGCAGCCCAAGGTCTCTCCTGAAAAGCTCACTCCCCTCCAGCATTGTCCTGGGGGCCCCAAGCCATGGCCCCCTGCCCACACTCCCAGCCCCTTAGAAGGCAGAGATGGGGTCTTTCCATCCTAGGGCTGTGCCCTGGCACAAAGCCTGGCCCCCGTGGGTGCAGCAGGAGGAGGGCAGGACTGCCAGCTTCTCTTAGGGAGAGGGTGAGGGAATGAGATGAGGCAGAGGGTCAACGTGGCTCTGCATGTGCCCCAGCCTGTCTCCGGGCTGGGGGATGGGCTGGGGAAAACCCTGTTCTCAACCCCCCACCCCCACTCCTTTCAGTGGTTTGGAGGAATCACCTGGGCTGGAGGCAGAAAAAAAAAGGAGGGGGGGGGGGCCGCGAGCCAGAGGGATAAGGAGCATTAGAAAGGGCTGGGAAGCAGCACGTGAACCATGACACCTCCGGGGAACCATGGGGGATGGAAGGATGGCAGCGCAGGTGCAGGTGCCCTAGCTTCCAGGGCCGGACCCGGGTCTCCTGCGGGGAGCCGTCGGGCGGCAGCTCTCCTTGCCGTGTGGCCCAAGATGTGGCAATTTCGCGTTGCCCAAGCTCCCTGAGGCGGGGAGGTCGTCCATTCCTTCAGGAAGACTCACCAGTCCCGTTCAGGAGCCACGCAGTGTCTTTATCGTGGCCATCTGCTTTTTCAAACCTGTGGGACTTAGGTGAGACCGCAACGCTCGGTGGGGCCCAGGATGACCCCAGCCTTGGGGGTGCTGGAGACCCAGCTGAGGCAGAGCGTGGAATGAGTGTCCTGACAAATGATCTAGTACCTCACGTCGCCTGGTTTAGTTCTAAGAGTAGCAGAGTCACTCGTCCTGCGTAGCCAGCTGCCACCAGTCCGATAGCATTTCCCAGTCTTTGGGAAGCGAAGTACTGGGCCCTCAGGAGTTGTAGGGGAGTTTTTCAGCCTCCGCGCCTTTTAATTTTTTTTTTTTTAATTAAAGGTATCCTGATGCTATTCCTTGTTTTGCTTCTGGGAAGCAGGGGATTGAGGAAATGACTTGGGCGGGTGCTTCGGTACCGCCGAAAAAGTCTCAGACGCGCTCCCTTGGGACCCGAGCCGGTTCGCAGTCTTTCCCCAGGTGCCAGGCGGGCGTCCGGTCCTCTCGGGCGCTCCTGGTCAGTGACTCGTACTGAGGGTCTCTGGCACCTTCTGAGACTTCTCGGGACAGTCTGGCGGGGTCAGGGGCGGCGGGGGCAGCGCGAGAGGAGCAGGCAGAGCGAGTGAGCCGGACTGCGCCTCGCTCCTCGGTGCCAAGGACACGGTCTCGGAGGCGCGGCCAGCTTCCCTTGGATCGGACTTCCCGGCCCGAGAGCCGGGCGGCTGAGCTCCAGCCCTGTCCCCTCCCCAGTGTCTGGCGGCCCCCAGAGCTGAGTAAGCCGGGCGGAGGGAGCCTGCGAGGATTTCCTGAGCGCGAGGAGCGGGAGGGGGCAGGGGCAGGAGGGCACGGAGCGAGGACCCTGAACCTGCCGGGGCCGAGCTCCCGGGCCCGCGAGGCCAGCGCCTCCCCTCGCGCGCCCGGCGCCCGGTCCCCCGGCCCCCGCCCCTCTCCTGGGCCGCAGGGAAGCGAGCCTGGGAGGAAGAAGAGGGTAGGTGGGGAGGCGGATGAGGGGTGGGAGACCCCTTGACGTCACTAGAAGGAGGTGCCGGGGTAGGAAGTGGGCTGGGGAAAGGTTATAAATCGCCCCCGCCCTCCTCTCCTCTCAATCTAGGTCCGCGGGAGGCTCGGAGCGCGCCAGGCGGACACTCTTCTCAGTTCCTCCTCAGCAGCGGCGGCAGCTCGGAGCGGCTCCGGGGCTCGGGGACAGCGGCCAGCGGAGTGCCGGGCGGCGAGGAGTGGCCGAGGAAGTGGTTGTCTCCTGGCTGGAGCCGCGGAGAGGAGCGCTCCGGGCGCAGGACAGGAGCGCGCGCGGCGGGCTGAGGCGGCGGCGGAGCGCGGGAGGACGAGTGCTGGCGACCGGGTGGTCGGCCGCGAGGAGCGCAGGCACCGGGGGCGAGCAGGCCGCTTCGCGCTCACCATGGTCAGCTGCTGGAACACCGGGGTCCTGCTGTGCGCGCTGCTCGGCTGTCTGCTTCTCACAGGTGAGGCGCGGCAGGGGGCCGGGGCCGGAGCGGCGCTGGGCTGGGACGGCCATGGAGCAGAGACCAAGCCCCCTTCGCCCCCCGAGTCGGGGCCAGGTGCATACGTGGGGAAGGCAGGCGAGGCTGCAGCCGCGAGAAGCGAGCCCGGCGGGAACCGGAGACAGTTGCGGCGGGTACGCCCAGGACCGCGTTGCCTTTTTTTCCAAGTGGGCTCCTAAGAGAGTGGCTGACCGGAGCCCGCGGGCATCACCGCCCAGACCCGCCGCCTGCAGCGCGCCCGAGTTTGGCACTGGGGCTGCCCCTTTAAAGCAGGATTCTCTGCCCTGCTCCGGGGCAGGACCTAGCCCATCCAGGATGTGGGCACGGGGAGCACCGCACACTCGGGCTGACCTGGCAACGAGAACCTGTCCTTGGCTGCCTGGCGCGGGTCTGCGGGGCCCTCCGGGACCAACAGCAGCGGCTACGGAACGCCTGCAAGGCTGCCCGGGAGTGGGCAGCGATCAGGGCGTTGGCAATATTGGGCACTGGCCAGGACCTCGCACAGCGAGAGGGAAGCAGGAGAGCCAGACAGGAGCGTGCTGGTGCCTGCGTAGAGCGGGCGCATCCAGGGACCGGGCCAGCGCTGGTGTCTCTGGACCGGCAAACTGTCCCAACAAGCCGGACCGTCCCCGGGAGCTCTGGGAGCTCCCGCAGCGCCCAGCCCGGAGCCGACCAGGGGTCCTGAGCGCGCTGCGCGCAGCCACCAAGCTGGGGCCCCTGCGCGGAGCAGGCAGGGTGTGCCGTCCAGCGCAGGTCGCCGGCGGGGAGCGACCCTGACCCCCGAAGGCGGGCGAGGGCCCAAACAGCGTCAGGGTTTGACGTTGTAAGTCCGGTCTTTACATTTTGAGTGGAAATCGGTGATGTCCTGTCGGCGCCGCCACCGAAGTCAGTCGGGCTTTTGGGACAGGGGCGGCGGAAAGGTCAGGCAGGGGCGCGGAGGTTTTAGCGGCAGTTGGCGTGGAGACAGCTGCCGCGAGGGGTCACAGCCCAGGGGACACGGGGGATCGCACTCCAGGTCTCCGCTCGGTGAAGCAGGGAGCCCAGCCCGGTGCGTTCGGCACTCTGAGCGCCTAAGGAGCAGACCGCCCGGCGCGTTCCTTTTCAGGATCGTGGAGAAAAGGTAAAAGAGGCAGTGACATAAAATAGAAAAACGTAAAATAAATCATTGCAGCCCTTCGCAGGAAGAAGGCAAGAAGGCTGAGCGTAATAAAAACCAAAAAGACACCAGGCTTGTTAAACCCGCAAGGCAGGAGCAAACAGTCTTTCTCAATGCGAAGACTGCTGTGATCGCGGGTTTCTAAGTGACAGGTCCCTGGCAAGTCGGTGACGCTGCTCAGGCGGGAGGCAGAGAGAAGCGGTAGTGGCTGAGCCCTCAGCGGAGGTTGGGACAGATCCCAAAATTAGCACATTAAATCAGAGCTTGTGTTTTCATTTCGTAGAGGTGTATCTTGTTTTTTGAAAAGTCGCTTATGCTAAAATTCAATTGCTTAGGGAATTTACCTGGTTCATTCCTCGACTATGTAAAGGTAAATCTAGGTAAATTACTGTGAAGCCAACGCTGTAGTGGGAAAAGTACACATTTTATTGGATTCTCACATACCACAGGATCTTCAAAAAGTTTATGGAAAATGTGTTCTATGAGAAAATGGCAGGGATTTCCATTTCTTTGTGCACCAAAAATAAATTGCTCTTTTAATTCCTTTTTCCACGACCTTTTGGGAGTACCGCGGATGTATATATCCTTGCTTCAAAAACGTGGCTGATTTTTCGTGAAGTTAGCTTCATGATTGAGAACATCTTGGAGGAGTGGAAGCTTTACGGGAATGTGAAGTGGGTCCTCTTAGACTATAACTTTCTTAAATAGAACAGAAATCTTGGTACTTGTTTGGGGCTTTTAAGAAGATTTTAGACATTGTAGGAAGAATGGGGCACAAACATCGGCCAGGTGAGAACCACTTTCTTTACCTGGGGGCGTGAAGAAAGTTCTGTTTGTGATTGCACAGTGTGTGCCTTCTGGGCTGGTTAACAAACACCCTGCAGCAAAGCCGGCAGCTCCCAGCTTTCCCACCACCTCAGGCGTTCAAAGCACGGATCAGGTCCAGAAAGAGGCCTCTCTCCCGGTCCGTGGTTGTATCCGGAGTCCACTTTCCCCCACCAGGGCCCAAGTCCAAGCTCCTTCAGGTGCTACCCCTTTGCGTAGCTATCAGTTCCTAGTGTCCTGTGAGACTGTGTGCACTGTGTGTAAAACAGCCAAGAGTTTCAGGAACGAGAAAGGATAATGCGTATTTACCTCCTGCCAAGTGGTAGAGAGATGCCCACCATTCCAATAGTTTGAGTCCTCTGCATTGCGATCTGGAGGGTCGCGGTCCTTTTTCTCTGGCTCTCACATTCTTTTTCCAGGCCCCATGCCCGTGATTAAGGCCTCAGATCTTTCTTCCTTTCCTTCTTTCTTTTTTTTTTTTTTCCTTGAGTTCCTAAGCAGCGGACATTTACAATTTACTGGAACTAATTGGAAGCACTTAAATTGTACATTTTGTGATGGAAATCCACATTAGTAATACTGAGTTAGATCAAAATACCTACTTCCCAATTGAATGAAATAACTCATAATAAAAGCAGATTTTATACATAAGTTGTTCTCTCTGAGGCTTATGCAACCACACTCTCCCCACCCCAACTGCTTATTAAAAATGTTAATTATTTAGTACCCTTTGTTTGCCCACATAGCTTTCCACCTGATGGCTCCTGTGGCAGGAGCACCTACTCTACTTCTTCACATGTTTTTATTTTATTCTGTCAGTACTTTGTTACTTTTATTTATTTATTTTTTGCCTGTTGAAAATTCTTTAATAGACTATCTGATTTCTTTTCCAAGGATCACCAAGTGGGTTTTTTGTTTTCTTATACAAAATCGCAGAAGGCAGAGTAGATGGTTGATTTCTCAGGTCCCTTTCCAACTCTAAAATTCCATGAATGATTCCAGGAAGTGGACTGCACAGAGTGTCTGTCTTTCCTTTTCCTCCACTCCCACCCCACCCCCCTTTATATTTGTTTGTAGAGCGAGTGATGGACCGCTTGATGCTGGGGTTTAAGGTGAACAGGGCTTATATGGCTGTCAGGGATCACACTGTACGTTCTTAATGTAGAAATTAGAATGTACCTGGCCAACAATTAACTCGGTCATCCCTGGGCTCTATTTTGCCAAAGATGGGCTAGTAGACAGTGTTCCAGTGAGGAGTAATCATTATCTTGGGCTTTCTTCACCAGCAGAATGTGTACCGCTATGAAGCCGGCTCTCCTTCAGAATTTTAATTGCATTATCTCCTCCTTAAAGATTCCAGTCATTTCAAGTCCCCATGCATTTCTTGATTTTTTTTTAAATAAACTTTTATTTGCTCAAAAAAGAACCTTTATTCTAAAAGAGTTCCACAGGGATACTAAAACCCCTTATTTAAAGTTGTGTGTATTTTCTGTGACTTTTAAGACATACATCAAATGCTTACTTTGTTCTTTCTAAAAACATCAGCGGCACACTGTTGCTGGGGACATTTCTGAATCGACCTTGAATGTCTAAGTTGAACATGATATGTGGCAAAGAATAATTTTAAACCTATCCCCAAAAGGTAACATCTTTAAGGAAGATTATGCAACATACATGGTCTCCAAAAAGTTCATGGAAGGTGTGTAGAATGAAAAAAGAACCGTATATGTATTTTTTTTTGCACCAAAATAAACTTATCTTTTAATGCCACTTTTCCACAAATGTCTTGAAGTACCCTCATACTGCCATCTGTGCAGCAGTATAGCTGGTGTTTACTCTGGCTTGGGCAGCTTGCAAGGCCAAGAACAAATAACAAAGTAGATCACTTCTTCAGTGCTTTAGACCAAGATGTGCATGTGGGTGACTAAAGGGATGGAGCGAAAGGGAGAGAAGCTCCCTTGACACTTGGGTGTTAGATGCACGACCTGCTGGGTGGAGAGCGAGGCATGCTAGGTTTTTCTTTCAGCTGCTGCTAGGTTTTTCTTTCAGCTGCGTGGTCAGGGGGTGTGTTGGTGAGCCAGTAAATATCACCATTTTTCAGTATATTTGTCATTGCCGAGAGGCAGTGAAGGGGATTTAAAATCATAGCAAGCATTTTTTTAAGTCAAAATATATTACTAAGGGTGATTAAAGGCATAAAACTATTGGCTGGTTGCACGTGGCTTAAATAGTTTAACAGAACAGCCCATTTCACAGGGGCCCTCACCTACCGCACAGGCTCATGCCGATTGACCAGGCCTCTCACCAGGGGCTTTCTAGGATGGCTGCTGATACCTGGGACCCTTGCTTGCCTTGGAAACTGCATGCTGCAGATGAATTTGCTGGATTTTGAACCAGATTGAGGGGGAAGGAAATGGGAGGAATGGGGTATCTGAGGGAAGGCTTGAAAGGAAAGTCTCTGGCTTAGCCGTCGGGGCTGAGGGGGGTTTCATTAAGGAAGCAGTTCCATTGAGGCTGCTGAAGATAGCGGACTAGGTTTCCTGCATTGCTGCTGGGGCGGATGTGGGGAGATGTCAAGAATTCCTGGGGATTTCCCATCAGTCTTGGTCAGCCTGGTGGCCTGACCGCCACTTCTGGTGGCTGCTTGCCTTGCCTTTGAGCTCCTTGAGGCTCCATGCTGTCCCACAGGCAACCGCATCATGAGAGCTTAGATGGCGTCTCTCCCATCTAATCTACTCAGCCCAGAGATGAGAAAAGCAGCCCAGGGAAGTGTAGTGGATTTTTTCAAGGTCCAGTGCCAGACCCAGGAGAAAACTTGATGCTCCTAGGATACAGAAAAACATGTCTTCCTCATCTGTGTGTTCCATCCACCCCAAACAGAGGAGTGTTTCAAATATTTGTAGAATAACATTGTTGCCATGCTAATATTTCTTTCTAAACAATGGCATTTTAAAAATATGAAATGTTAGGCTGGCGCCGT